CACTCGGCACGCGGAGCCGTCGGGGGGGGGGGGGGGGGGGGGGGGGGGGGGGGGGGAGGGGGTGCGGCGGGGGGAGGGGCGGGCCGTGCCGGGAGCTGCCGCCAGCTGCCGCTTTTCCGTGTTCCTCTGGGGAGGGTGGGAAGGCAGCGAGACAAACACAATGACAGAGCCAGTGTCTCTCTGAAATAGTAAACTGAGGGGAACGGGAAAATAACCCAGCACCAGACACAGCGGCCCACGTTAATTGGGAGCCTTGGCAATTAGGGGGAATGTGTACCGAAAGCATGAATGGCTGTGTCGTAGGCGCAGGGGCCCGCCCTTGTAGCTGTCGCTTTCAGCCAGAGCCAGGCGGGGGGCGCGGGGCGGGGGACGCTCACCCGAGTGACTGAGGTGCTGCCTAGAACCTCCTCTTCGGGGCCCCTCACCCTGGTCCTGCGGGTCACAGTACTGCCCCCTCCCTAACCCACTCCTCAGGGTCCAAATTTAAGATGACCGCTGAAGTTCAAGATGTAAATCCTGCCTCTGCAACTCTACCTGGGATATAACCGTGAGCAACTCGCTAAAGGAAGCTCTTAGACCTCAGTTTCCCCACAGGTGACAATGACTGTGGGAACACTCCCCTCTCGGGAGGCTTAGCCCAGGAGCTCAGAGGGAGCGCTCAGTGGCCCTGTGCAAAGGCCCTGAGGCAGAGGGAGCAGTCCTCACTACTGTGAGGAACAGGACTTATAGGAAGGGACCAAGTCGGGCAGGGATGGAAACCACAGAAACACAGCAAAGGCTGGCCACGCAGTTGGTGGCGGGAAGCCATGCGGCCTGCCGTGAGGCTGCCCAGCCTGAGCCAAGGTAGGGGCAGGCGGGATGAGGGGGGTTTCCTGAGAGAGACTGGGATTGTCTACACCTAGGCAGGACCTCAGAGACTTTCTTACAGACCCTGGGACAGAGGGATATGGCTGGGAAGGGACCCAGACCTACTTCAAACACCCCCAGCCCTCAGCCTCAGCATTTTCATTTGCAAAATGAGACTAGATAATTTTTAACAAATGAGAAGTTCTCAAAGTCCCAAGGCAGGACATGCCCGAGACTTCAAAAAAGCCCTTGCACAGATTTGGAAGCCGTTGATGGTTACTGAGAACAAGGGGGTAGCCCCGCCCCCCAAGGGAGACCGTGGCGGGGGGGTGCGGGGGTGGACAGCTCTGACCCGCGGAGCACAGGACCTTGGACAAAATGGACACAATCTGGGACAGTCCCCAAGCTCTGTAGGCACCTCCGAAAGCTAAAACTCAGGCTGGCCTCCACCCTGCCAATCCATGGGACTTGACATGGACCAAGTAACCTTCCTGTCCCTGTCTTTTCCTATACAAGTGAGGACTTGGTGACAGCTGTCCTCCCTCGTCTTCTGCTCTAGGTGGCGGGAGGGACGAACCCACACCACTCAGTAGGCGGTAGGCTCGTGTCCTTGGGGAAGCAGACTCAGCCCTCCCAGATGCCCTTGAGTGCCGCCTTTCGGCCATTTCTCTGCGCTGCTTTTTGAACGTTCCTACCGGTGGGGACACATCGAACCCAGGCGTTGCATACCTGTTGGGGAAAAAGGAACTCCAAAGCTTAGTACCAGCTCCTCTTCTGCCAGAGAATTCCGAGGTGTTTGGCCAAAAGACTTCCTGGGGACCCTTGATGCCACTACTGACCAGCAAAAGGCTGCAGAGGTATAATAGGACCCCACGATCACTGGAGGGCGGGCCATGGCTTGCCTCTCAAATGCTGCATGTCCATAGTCCCTCCAGGACCGCTGAGGAAGAAGTGTGAGGTAGCGCAGCTAAAGCCCACTCAGGCTTGTTCTAGGAAGGGTAGCATCCAGCCCCTTTGAAACGTGGGCGTGAGTAAGAAGGGGTCACCAGCTGTGCCGTTCTTTCGGTGCATCTATTCATTTGTTTAAAATTTTTAATGTTTATTTATTTTTGAGAGAGAGAAAGGGAGACCAAGTGCGAGTGGGGGAGGGGCAGAGAGAGAGGGAGACACAGAATCTGAAGCAGGCTCCAGGCTCTGAGCTGTCAGCACAGAGCCCGACACGGGGCATGAACTACGAACTGTGAGATCATGACCTGAGCCGAAGTCGGACGCCCAGCCAACTGAGCCACCCAGGCTCCCCATTCAGTTTATTTATTGATGTGAGGAGCCCCTCTCCCCTGGGCCAAGCTCCAGAATACAACAGTGAAAGGAAAGACAGGGTCCCTCATGGCTAATGGGTGAGGCAGATATTTATCAACTAGTCCTACAAATAAGTGTGTAATTAAAACCTGGTCCAGAGCCCTGAAGATGTAGCCTTTGAAAAGCAAGCCAAAGGGTCAGGTGGTATGGTATTAAAAGAGAGGAGGCGAAGGAGCCAGGAATTGGAAGCACAGGCAGGAGTGGGAAATGATTCTGGCATACGAACTGAAGCAGCATGTGCAAAGGCCCTGAGGCAGAAGGAGCAGGACGTGGAAGGAGCCACAGTGGCCCCGGAGCAAGGGAGACAGGCTGCAGAAGGAAACAGATGTCAGATGAGGCAAGTCTGGTAGTTCCTGGGTGAATCCAGCTTTTATCCTCAGGACAATGGGAAGTCACTGAAGGGCGTTAGGAAAACTATTGCAAGCGAGAACTGGGGAATGGGTAGCTTAGGATGTAGGGGGACCCCACAGTGAGGAGTCGGGGCTGTGAGGAGAGCAGTACCCATATGAGGCTGAGACATGAGCCTGGCCCCCAAATGGAGAGAACCCTGCTTCTCTAAAGGCGCTGGGAGCAAAATCAAGAGAGCTGGGCAGGGGTGCACAGCCATGGTGGAAGTTGGGTAAGAAAGGACAGAAAACATTTCTAAAACGCTCCCCAGGCCTCCCGAATTGGAGGCAAAAATAGCCCTTCAGCCTGTCAGCGCCAGGGCCACACAGCCACTGACCGGAAGTAGGGAGCCAGCAGGGAAAGTTAAAACGGCAGGACCAGGAGCCCTGGGGAGAGACCCCTGCCTCCCCCAGCAGGTGACCCTCCAAAGTGGCTTTTGAGGCACCGTTTCATGCTGGGATGCAGACGGCAGGATCAGAGCAGCTCCTGACCGCCAAGTGCTACTTTCGATCCATTCACACTTGCTTTGTAAATTCTTGTTTAATGTTTATTTATTTTTGAGACAGAGACAGAGCATGAGCAGGGGAGGGGCAGGGAGAGGGAGACCCAGAATCTGAAGCAGGCTCCAGGCTCCGACGTGGGGCTCGAACCCACAAACTGTGAGATCATGACCTGAGCCGGAGTCGGCCCTTAACCGACTGAGCCACCCAGGGACCCCCGTTCACACTCGCTTTGAATGTACCTCCCCCAAACACAGACAAATGCTGAGCCCCCAAACCATAAGAGAGAACCATTTCCTCACGCCTGGCTGAAAGAGCTTGCTCACTCCCAAACCGCTCCTTGACCTTGGTCTCGTCCACCCTCCCTGACCTTTGTTTCTTGAACGCCTTCGGCTTCTCCCTCAAGCAGCTGCTGTTGGGCCCTTGTTGCTTTACCCAGCTCCTGGACAGTTTCCACAACGGCGGTCTTACCATCCATTTAGGGCCGATGGCCCCACACTCTCCAGCCTGGTCCTCAGCCCAGAGACCCAGAGGAGTAATCCCCAGGCACCCAGCCCCGCTCGTGCTGAATCCAGCACCCGACCCCCACCCCCAACAAAGATGCTTCCCCTCCTGTCTTTCCTGAATTCATAAATAGCACCGCCCCCACCCAGTCCCTCACCCAGGAAAGCACGTACCATCCTTAACTGCTCTCCCCTGGCCACTTGGGTTCTAGATCAGGCCTCTCTGCCGCCAGCCTCTGCAGGAGACTCGGCCTGTCTCCCCACCCCCAGGCTCTCAACTCTCGTAATCATTCTCTACAGTTCAGGTGTGATTCAAACCTTCAGCAGTTTCCTGTTTTCTACACATTTTAATATGGCGCTCAGTCTTTACAACCCAATAACCCCGCCCCCCTGCCTTTTCTGCTTCATCTCCTGACCTCACTCTTTGCTCTGCCTTCCCCATCCCATCCCCACCCCTGTCACCCCAGTCCTTGCAAATGCTGTCCCCCAGCTTAAGAGGGCCACTCAGTTATCCAAATATGCTGCCTCCTTGGGGCGCCTGGGTGGCTCAGTCGGTTAAGCATCTGACTTCGGCTCAGGTCACGATCTCACGGTTTGTGGGTTTGAGCCCCGCATCGGGCTCTGTGCTGACAGCTCGGAGCCTGGAACCTGCTTTGGATTCTCTCTCTCTCTCTCTCTCTCTCTGCCCCTCCTCCGCTCATGCTCTGTCCCTCTCTCTCAAAAATAAACATTAAAAAAAATTTCAAATAGGCTATCTCCTGGCCTGCCCTTTACTTGTATAGTTTTTCTGCTTAAAACATCCCCCTTTCCTTTCTCTGCCTGCGAGAACCCTGCCTGCCCTGCAAAGCTAAACTCAGATGTTGCCTCATTGGCATTAGGGACGTTTGCTCATGCTGTCAGGAACCGTGTCGTGCGTCGACATCTTTAACGGTACATATCACAGCCCAAATTTTACTGGGTATAATTGCACGTCTGCTGCCCTAATGGAATAGGAACTCCTTGGGGTCAGCCCGGCCTCTCGCTCCATCTGTAGACCACGCCCCCCCATGTCTTGCCTGGTGACCCAACCAGCCAACCCCCCTGGATTCATTTTGAACACTTTCTTCCCCGCCCCCTCCTCTCCCAGCGACCTCACAGCCTAACCCAAGCCTGCAGACCTGC